CAAAAAGACGCACAAATAGAAAGTAAAGAGAAAAAACACAAAACCACGTCATTGGACCAAATAAGCTACGAACATCCTACAAGTGAGGAAAAACAAAAGAAAAATAACCCAAAATAAAGACACAAAAATGGGACAAACAATTATGGCTCGTTTAATTTGTCCAAACGTTTGTCAAAACAAAATGTTTTACAAATCCAATAATTTGAGTTACTTAAACTCATTGCTTCATCCTTACATTTCCCACATATACAACTTAGAACTAATTTTTCATTCACCTTAAAACGGTTTTGAGAATTTTCTAAGTATTCCACTAACAAAAAATGGAACCGTAAAGTCGGTACAAAACTAATTTTTCTTACATCTAGACCATACATAGTTGCATAATGCTAATGACTTCACTTTATACTCTTTTTGGGCATAATTTCATTTTCAGTCCACTATATTGGCTTCTTTCAAGCAAAGGTCCACATTTTTTGTAGACATTACACTTAGTACATTAATTGAAAAATTATCAAATAAGGTACACTAATCACTGATGACAGGAAAAATTCGTTGTTTGTTTCCTTTTAGGCTTAATTTAAACGTATGCCGATGTCCATTTCAAGTGTAACCCACCGATGGATTCTTCTCGTCGACATAGTTGTACCTTAAACATGTAGCTCAATAATAGTTCATTTTCCCTCTCAATCTTCCATTCAAAAGAAAAAAAAAATAGTTATTTTCTATTTGGTTTAATTTTGACACCATCTACGATCCGATTTAGGTGGATGAAACACCATCAGATTCTTCTTGTCGAACCAATTGTATCTACTAAAATTAATCTCAATTGGAGCTTTTGTCTGCTCAGTTTGTCATCCAAATTAATATTAGCCCAAATTCGTCGTTCTCTATCTAGGGCCATTTTATTGCCTTATAGAGTAAGTTTAGTGGGGTGGCTTACTATTGGATTTATCTTATCAGGACAGTCGTAACTACAAATTGTAGCTCAATTATATTCCATTTGCCTACTCAATTTTTTGTTCAGAATAAATTGAGCTGATATATTCCTGGCCTAATTCTAGTGTCATCTGAGGTCAGTTTCAAGTATTTGATCTATCGTTGTATTTTTCTCGTCGAGATGTTATCTACCCAAATGTAAGACCATTTGGAGTTCTTTTGCTCAGTCAATTGCCACGTCTAAAGTTATATGCACAAACTACATTTTCAGGCTATGATTGGCTCGTGATCAGCCCACGCCGAGCCATTGATAAATTTAAACAATCTGGTTTTTATCTTGCTATTGATGTTTTTTTTTGTCAAACAACAACTATATTAATAATGGAAAAACTCAATAGAGTACAACAGATGTGTCAGCGGACACAACTGGAACCAAGAACAAAGCCTGGACCAACCCCCCTTGGATCTACACAAGGGAACAAGGGGTACAATCCAAGGTGGGACAACTCCCTCAAGGAGGTACAAACAACTGCATAACATAACTCCATAAAGGAGACTCCAACTCTATGTAGGAGACTAGGTGTCAAACGCCACTAGACTTAACAAAATGAAAAAACAACGCACACCTACAAAAAACTATAAAATAAGACATTCACTAAACCTCGCCGGCAAACCAAACGACCACCCTAACTACCAACCGAGCCAAGCACTACATCATAAAAACCAAACCTAGTAGCAAATCTAGTCCCCAAACCCAAAAACTGCAACTAAAATCGAAATGTCTAGGCAGACCTGGCGAGGAGTTAAATCTCGGACCAGACTTGGGTTTCAAAGATTTTCAACATCGTGGGAGGGAGGGGAGCCATCACAAAATGCCGGAAGGTTCAAAAAGATACCCTGGGCCTCTAGGTTGCAAGCAGCCTAGCAGAAGCTTCACCATGGGCGTTGGGCTTGAAGGCGCAAGAGCCAAGGACTCCGGCAGAACGACGACCACTCAGAGCTAGAGGCTGGACGTGATGGACCAGCGACCTCGACCGGGCTTAGGAGATAGATGGAGCGGCGACCTAGCTCCGACCATGTCTCCCGAAAATCTTCGGGCGGGGCTAAAATGGTGCCTTCAGTCGCGGCTCAGTCATGGCCGGCTCCGAGGACGCAGAGGCCGGCCGACAGAAAGAGGGCTGGGGGGGCACGACGGAATGGCCACGAGGGTTTTTCTGATGAAAAAAGGCTTCTGCGAAAGCGGGCTCTTGCCAATCATGAATATTGTGCCTTATTTGATGAATATTTTTAAATTAATGTAATAGATTTGATATATGCTAAAAACATGGACTTTAGCTGAAAATAAGTCAATATAATGGACTAAAAGGATCATGTTATATTTTTAATTATATGATGTGTGATATTACAAGACTTGGGACATCTTGAATGTTCATAACAAAAGTATAACTACTCACAACACATATATCATGTTCTTTCAAATCATACAAAGTTAACATTAATAAAATGATAAACGAACAACCTTCAATAACTATGTAATTATATATTACACACAACGTATACATAAATGCTCGCTTAATAAATTAATTAACCCCAAAAGCATCCACAAGTTCCACCTCATCACCCGCCGCCTCCACCGCCGCAGCCACCGCCGCCACCACAACCACCGCCGCCGCCGCCGCCACCACCTCCATA